ACGACACGAACGGAACGAAACGATTCCCTGGTTGGGGGTCTCCGTTCCACTGCGATCTCACCCCCCAACCTCCGATGTAATCACTTGGAGGCTGCTGGCACCGCCATCTCGGACAAGAGCACGCTTGTCTGTTCCAGTGAGGCCCTTGGGGCCGACATCATGCAGAAATTCAGAAGTGTGGCATTTCCCATCGCATGAAAGACGCGGTGCGAGATCTGGGGGTCATCTCTTCTGTAGGCGTTCCTCGTAGTGTGAGTAAGTTGCGGCATCGTCGGGCTCTGGCTTATAAGAAGACTAAGAAGGTGGCCTTCCTTTCGCGGATTGTTGGCCGCGCAAACAAGTTGCATGAGCCTGCGAGGTCTTGGGGCTCTTGCCTGGGCAGGTGCAGTCAGGGCCCAGGCTGCCATGTGCTCTGGTTGGCGGACGCCAGGGGCCTGCACGACCACGCTTCTGCGGGTGACCCCCAGTTTAGGCTTAGGTCGGGCATGTCCCCCTACAGGCCGATTCTGGACGAAAAATAAAACAGACCCCAAACATAAACCACAAATATTCAAACATAGTGTAAAAAAAACGTCCCCAGACTATTGTTTGACTATTTTTGAATGTTCCTCCTGTAGAGGGACAGGCCCGACTTAGGTTTAGGCTTCGCTGTGAGCAGTTGAATGGTTCCTCTCAGGCGTAGGTCGACTGGGACCACAAAGGGAGCAGGCGTTGTGCGCAGGCCTGGGCCAAACTATGCACCTAGATGGATCACATACCCATCATCGGTGGCAAATTGTGACGGGGCCAATTCCAGCTACCGTTGCTGCTCGGGGATGCAGGTTAGCATGCGATGTCCCCCGTTGACTGGAGGACGGAGGCTGAGGCTTCGAGGACTGATGATGGTGATGGCCCCTTCCGGGTGTGGAAACCTCTCCTCAACGCGTGCTCGGTTCTGTCCTGGGGCCAGGCTTCCAAGCACGCTTATGGGGCTGAGCTCACGGATGGATTTGATGTTACTGTGGTGCGCAAGTCGTTTGCCAAGCTGGCTCGTGATGGTGAGCATGGATATGCTAGCATTTTGCGGAACGTTCTCGTTGCTGGCTTTTGTTACCTAACAGCGAAGACTGATAGGCTTCTAGTGGGCTCAAAAGAGAGCATCTGGACTCCCCAAGGGGGGTCGGGGCAGATGCCGGACGGGTGCCGCGGGAATCAGGGGACTCCTTTTTAGCCAACAGTAACGCACTTCGTGGTCTTCGAGTTCCCAGAACTCCATTCCTGGGCATGATTTTGAATGACCGGAGCCAACTGTAGGCCACTTCGTGGTCTGCGAGTTCCCAGAGCTCCATTCATGGGCATGATTTTGAATGCCCGGAGCCAACAATAGGCTACTTCGTGGTCTCCGAGTTCCCAGAACTCCATTCCTGGGCATGATTTTGAATGCCCGGAGCCAACTGTAGGCCACTTCGTGGTCTTCGAGTTCCCAGAGCTCCATTCCCGGGCATGATTTTGAATGCCCGGAGCCAACTGTAGGCCACTTCGTGTTCTTCGAGTTCCCAGAACTCCGTTCCCGGGCCACATTTTGAATGCTGAGGCAGGCTGAGGCTGAGGCTGAGGCAGGCTGAGGCTGAGGCAGGCTGAGGCTGAGGCCGAGGCTGAAGGCAGACTGAGGCTGAGGCTGAAGCAGGCTGAGGCTGAGGCTGAGGCAGAGGCTGAGGCTGAGGCTGAGGCAGGCTGATGCTGAGGCAGGCTGAGGCAGGCTGAGGCTGAAGCAGGCTGAGGCTGAGGCAGGCTGAGGCTGAGGCCGAGGCTGAGGCAGACTGAGGCTGAGGCTGAAGCAGGCGGAGGCTGAGGCTGACTGAGGCTGAGGCTGAGGCTGAGGCTGAGGCTGAGGCTGAGGCTGAGGCAGGCTTAGGCTGAGGCAGGCTTAGGCTGAGGCTGAGGCTGAGGCTGAGGCTGAGGCAGGCTGAGGCTGAGGCTGAGGCTGAGGCTGAGGCTGTGGCTGTGGCTGACGCTGAGGCTGAAGCAGGCTGAGGCTGAGGCTGAGGCAGGCTGAGGCTGAGGCTGAGGCTGAGGCTGAGGCTGAGGCTGAAGCAGGCTGAGGCCGAGGCAGAGGCTGAGGCAGGCTGAGGCTGAGGCTGAAGCAGGCTGAGGCTGAGGCTGAGGCAGGCTGAGGCTGAGGCTAAGGCAGGCTGATGCTGAGGCAGGCTGAGGCTGAGGCTGAGGCTGGGGCTGAGGCAGGCTGAGGCTGAGCAGGCTGAGGCTGAGGCTGAGGCTGAGGCTGAGGCAGACGCTGAGACAGACGCTGAGGCAGGCTGATGCTGAGGCAGGCTGAGGCTGAGGCTGAGGCTGAGGCTGATGCAGGCTGAGGCTGAGGCACGCTGAGGCTGAGGCCGAGGCTGAAGGCAGACTGAGGCTGAGGCTGATGCAGGCTGAGGCTGAAGCAGGCGGAGGCTGAGGCTGAGGCTGACGCTGAGGCTGACGCTGAGGCTGAGGCAGACGCTGAGGCAGGCTGAGGCTGAGGCTGAGGCTGAGGCTGAGGCTGAGGCTGAGGCAGGCTGAGGCTGAGGCTGAGGCTGAAGGCAGGCCGAGGCTGAAGGCAGACTGAGGCTGAGGCTGAAGCAGGCTGAGGCTAAGGCTGAGGCAGGCTGAGGCTGAGGCTGAGGCAGGCTGATGCTGAGGCAGGCTGAGGCTGAGGCTGTGACTGCGACTGCCGTTGCCACTGCGACTGTCATCGCGAATGCGACTGCGTCTGCGCGAACAGCAGAATTCTACAACTGGATTATCATCTGAATCGTAAGGGGAATGCTTCCAGATATGTTTTTACACATCGCTGTTAGGTTGTTTTGCCGGGATACTCTAGAAGATCGTCTGCATTGTGCTGGGCACATCCCGGCCAGCAACGGGCTCTGCGGGCGATGTGGGTTGCCCCCCTGAGGCCCCGTTACCTCGCTTCTGGCACTGCGAGTGTAGCCAAGAGCTCACTGACGCTTCGGTCTTTCGCACCGAGTCGCTCGCCCCACGTGCGGCCTCTCAAAAAAACGGCAGGGCGGGTTTCTGGTGTCGAGGACTCCCGTCGCCGGTGGATGCCGTGGGCCACTTACCCCCCCCCCCTCAAGAGAGCTGGCGTGGAACCGTGGACGGTGTTTGGATCCCGAACCTATCCGAGGTGGCGCTCGGGGTATAGATGGGGATAAACACTCCAGTGTTTGGAGGCTTCGGCGGTGTGGTTGGTCGTTCGTCCGACTATCGGGGATGGACAGACCCCCCTTTAGTAAAACGTGGTTTAGTGAAAACGACCTGAGGCCCAAACCTGGCGGGCGCAAGCCTGGAAAATCACGGCCACGGCGCCCTCTCGAGAACCGAAAACGGACAATTCACTAATCGACGTGTCGAAGGCGCGGACGGCAGGAACGACTCTGCTAGGTACAGGACCCTATCCTGTGCCGGGCAGTCTTACCCATGGGGCCGAGCTGTTCGCCCGGATCCAGAGATGGCGCGTGCTTCTTTTTTGGCGATTGTCGAGATGTTCGTGGCTGGCTGCTCGTGGCGAAGGGCATAAGAGGAGCTTGAAGTTTTAAAAGGAACTCGAGCATGCTGGACTTATGGGCTGAGCATCACCGTGCCATGCTTGAACGTGGGGGGGCCCTCGACCTGACCAAGACCCAAGGACACCCCGCCCGAGCCCAGGCCAATGATGCGTTCCTGCCTGGTGTAGACGTGTACCTTGATACGGCTGCCAGTCGATTCGCCGACTGGGCCGCCGAACAAGGCCAACCGGGCGATTACGACATCGGGGCCACCTCGGGCGCTGATTCACTCGCGCGCCAGGTGTTGAAGCGGATTCTTGCAGTGCAGCGCGAGGTCCTTTTTGTTCGTCTGCAAGGGAGCGTGGTGGCCGTAGCGAGCCGAGGCGAACTCGCGGAGCTGTTTCCTCTCAGGCTGAGCGCGTGTGTCGCCTTCGTGATATGGGCCACGATCCTTCTGTGAAGAAGGCCTGCATTCGGTGCGGACGGTGCGAGCTCAGCTTCGGCCTGGAGGGCGAGCTTGCTGAGTTTGGGCCAACACCTTGAAAGCGCACGCGCGTCATAAAGATTTGCAGGAGTCTCACGCATGGAGAGCGGTCCGTTGTCAAAATGTGGCTCTCGCCTTGGCGCTGCGCATTCGTTTGAAATGTCTGCAAAAGGTTCACAGATGGAGGGCGGTTCCTTTTCAAAATGTGGCTCTCGCGTTAGCGCCGCGCACATTCGTCTTGAGAACTCGCACGGGTTGGAAGGACGATCATAGTTAGCGTCCCAGAATTGGTGTTAGGGTACGATGTCGGAATGTCAGGGCGCAACAGCTTCGTTGACTTGTGGTGTTAAGTCCTAGTCTGGCACGACTCAGGATCGTCAAGACGCAGCAGTTACGGAGATTCGCGGCGTTGAAGTTCCAAGAGTGGCGACTTGGCACACTTCCGGATGTTCACACGATTGTGTTCCAACAGGGCATTTCCCTCAGTGAGAATGAATACTGCAGGAGCTTATGACGAAGGAACTTGGAGGAAGGATGTATTGCAATACCGTTGATGCGTCGTGGACTTACACTGATCCTCCTCCTCCTCCTCCTGCTCCTCCTCCCTCCTCCTGCATCCTTCCTGATCCTCCTCTTCCCTCTCCCTCTCCTCCTCCCATTGTGAAGTGTGGCTGCGTTGAAATTCCAAGACAGGCGTTTTGGCATACTTCCGGATGTTAACACGATTGTGTTCCAACAGGGCATTTCCCTCAGTGAGAATGAATCCTGCAGGAGCTTATGACGAGGGAACTTGGAGGGAGGACGTATTGCAATACCGCTGATGAGTCTTGGACTTACACTGATCCTCCTCCTCCTCCTCCTCCTCCTGCTCCTCCTCCTCCTCCTCCTCCTCCTCCTCCTCCTGCTCCTCCTCCTCCTCCCTCCTCCTGCATCCCTCCTGATCCTCCTCTTCCCTCTCCCTCTCCCCCTCCCATCGTGAAGTGTAGCTGCGGCCCGAGGCGGGCCACTCGTGTCGGCCGGCTGCAGCAGCTCGACCATCTTCACCTGCGGCCGCCCCTCGGGGAAGTGCCACACTGCAAGAGCTGCCCCCCCCGCCACACGAGCAAAGATTCACGGGAGGACGAGGACAAGGCGGGAGGACGCGAGGCGGGGGAGGAGGAAGAAGACGAGAGGAGGGGGAGGATGATGAGGAGGACTGTCGAGGACACGCAAGAGTGACCATGAGTAAGAGTGACCTTTGGTGCGCGGCCTTTTGGGCGCCGCGGGGGGGCCAAAACACAAGCGCGCAAGACGCTACTACCGCATCGCGTTCGGCGATCGGGGGACCCCAGTGGGCCCGCACCAGGTCACCCTGGCAAAGGGCTACTTACTCTTACGCGTAATCGAGATTCAGAGGGGAGAAATGTCCACCGGCCCTCCTCTCAATTTCAAGCTTCCAATCGCATCTCGTCCTGCAACTTCCCTGGCGCAGTACCATCCCTGCGGACACCCTGAACCACTCTCCCCATGCCTTAAGCTAATTCGCCATGGGGCAAGCGGATCCCGAGGGGAACTGCTCCCAACTCCCACCAGCCCTCTGGCCGTAGGTAGGGAGTTTCCTCTTCCACCCCCCTTCTTCCCCGTCGGAGAGGGGTTTACCCCCCCCCTGCCCCCTCCCCTGGACCTGGACGGGGGGTTCCGCGAAGTGACAGGGCGTCACCACGGCCTCGACGAGGAAGCCACACTCATGTGTTTTACTAAGATTTTAGCCCGATGTTGACCTTTGGGGGGGGAACGCGAATTGCGACCATCCCCTTCTGTAATGTCCTCCGAGATTGCCCCATGAAGCGCCCAGGAGGCCCCAAGAGGCCCCCCGATGGCCCCAAGATGGCCCCAAGAGGCCCCCAAGAATCCCCCAGGAGGCCCCCAAGAGGACCCCAAGCGGCCCGAAGAGGCCCCCCCGAGGCACCCAAGACGCCCAAGAGCCAACCAGGACCGTCAGGAGACCCCCAAGACGTCCCAAGAGGCCACCAAGAAGCGCCCAAGAGATATCCCAAGAGGCTCCGAGAGGCATGCAAGAGACCTCTGGCCCTTTTGCTTGCCCTCCTCCTCCTGCTCCTCATTCCTCCTCCTACTACTCCTTCTCGTCTTCCTCCTCCTCCTCCTCCTCCTCCTCCTCCTCCTCCTCCTCATTATCATCATCCTATTCACCTTCCTTCTCCCACTCCCTCATCCATCCATCCAGCCTCCTCCTTCTCAACATCCCCCCTTCTTCGCACGCTTCGGCCCTCCCCCTCTTTGCTCCCGCGCTTCCCTGATCACCCCAACTCGCCTGGACATCGTTTCTGGATCGGGCTGCTGGCCCAGGAGGAACCCCTGGGGCCCGGGACGCCTTTGCATCGGGGCCCGCTTCCTTCGTGCCGACTGCTCCCCAGACCTCTCCCAGAGTGCGCTCCGGCCAGAATTTCCCACGTGCGAGTCCAGCCGTGGCGACGCGGGAAGGGCAGGGGGGCATCGGCAACTGTGCCCCCTCCCGGAGGGCCTCCTGACAGGGCAGGGCGCCTCTCGGGTCGGCCCCTCCCGCCTTCCGCCGCTCCTCGCCCCACCAGTCTCCCAGGGCTCCGCCGCTTCGCGCCGCGCGCTCCGCGGAGCGCGGAGAAGCTTCGCGCTCTCGCGCCGCCCCCCCCCCGAGAGGAGAAGAGGAGGGCGAGGCGGGGGAGAGGGACCGAGGATAGGGGGAAAACAAACCCACCTCGCTTTTGACCACCCTCGCTTCCAAGAGATGCCAAACGATGCCAAACTGCAGCGGGTGCTGGTCAGGCCGCTTGACGAGGAGGCGCGTGGTATGGCCTGGTTTTGCCTGGAAGCGAAAGCGGGGTAGGTAATTCACGCTCTGATGGAAGCCCCAGAGAACTGCCACAGCGCGGCCTACCTCCGCGCCCTGCTGTCACTGCCCTCGGAGCCAGCGCCGCACGGCCAGCCAGGCCCAGACCGGGGGCCCGCCCGCCGCGCCCGCCGCCAGCAGGGCACCGCCCGGGAAGGCACCGCTAAAGCGAAAGCGGGGTAGGTAATATTCACGCTCTGAGAGGGCCGCGGGCCGCGAGAAGCGCGAGTCACTCTTCGCGCCCTCGTGGGAGCCGCCCTCGGCCTGCGACCCTCGCCCGGCCCTTCTCGGCCAGGCTATCCGCTCTCCAGGCTCGCCCCCCGGAGATCCTCCCGCGAGGCACGCCAGGGGCTCCCAGAGGCCCAATGAGAACCTCCCCCTTCCCCTCCCCCTCCCCCTCCCCCTCCCCTCCCCCTCCCCCTCCCCCTCCCCCTCCCCCTCCTCCTCCTCCTCCTCCTCCTCCTCCTCCTCCTCCTCCTCCTCCTCCTCCTCCTCCTCTCCTCCTCCTCCTCCTCCTCCTCCTCCTCCTCCTCCTCCTCCTCCTCCCCCTAAACGAACCCAAAAGCGGAAGAAACGCGTCGATCCTCGAGGATCGACGCGCTCCTTCCCGCCACACCCCCTGGCACTCGAGGACCGGGGCGATGATCACGTATAACGAGGAGGAGACTGAAGGAGGGCGATGGCCCACTGAACCGGGGTAGGGGGTGCCGGGAAACCGGGGTGGAGCATGGAGGGTCGAGGGTATCCTCGACAATCCATCCTCCTCGTTTCGGTGAAGCATACCATTCGGATTGTGGGGAGCCGGTTTCATCTGATGGGGCCCACTCCGAAACCTGACGCGAAATCCCGCTGCAGACATCTCACGGAACCCGGACTCAAAACGCGCGCCAGGAACGAGCAACAGAATGGCGGCCAGCCTCAGCTCTGGCAAACTCGACTACTTATTACGTTTCCTCGGCGCGCTCAAAACCGATCCCTGGACCATTCCAGAGGCACCTTCGTGGCGCGTGTACCGAGCCGCGCCCAACCCTTCGGTGGCGGCGAAAACCTCAGGCGGCGGACGCCCGCTGAAGCTGTCAGAACGATAACAACGATGCCAAACAACTACGTCGTCGTCGTCGTCGTCGTCGTCGTCGTCGTCGTCGTCGTCGTCGTCGTCGTCGTCGGTTTGGGCATCGCCGACGACGTCGAAGACACCGACCGTCGACCGTCGTCGTCGTCGTCGTCAATTGACAATGTCGAAGACGTCTACGACGTCGTCGACGACCATCCAAAACGATGACAACGACGACGTCGTCGACGATCTCCCTGCCAGGAGCTCCCCTGCGAGCGCCAGCCTCGAACATGTAGCGCCCGGAGGAGATGCCGACGCTGGCGCGGGCCCCGGCGAGCAGGTGCTGGATTCCGCCTGCCCCGCCCCCCACCTCTTGGGGAAACCAACAGGTACCAACACCGCTACTCCCCAGACGTCTCCAGGGGTGCGTTCCGAGCAGAATTTCGGGGCGAATCCAGCAGTGGCGACGAGGGCCTCCAGGAAAACGGGACAGTCCTCTGACCCTCCTCCTCCAACTCCTCCTCCTGCTAAAGCCAGGGCGTGCAAAAGGTAACGCCACGGGGCCAGGATAGTCTGCCCTTTCTGAGGATAGCAAGCTGCTTAGGCTGAACCTGGGCACAAGGCTAGAGCAAGGCGGGCGGAGCCCGATTGCCTTGCATATAACTGCCATAAGGTCCTCCTCCTCCACTTATGATTATTACTAGTATTAGTATTACAGGTATTATTATTCGTAGTATTATTTCTACTGTTATTAATAGTATGATGCTTCGAATTATTCGTATTAATATTATTCTTATTGCCAGTATTATTATTACTATGATTAGTATTGTTAGTAATAGTAAAATTATTAGTACTATTATTTATAGTATTATTATTTGCAATATTAGTCTTCCCTCCTCCTCCTCCTCCTCCTCCCCCTCCCCCTCCTCCTCCTCCTCCTCCTCCTCCTCCTCCTCCTCCTCCTCCTCCTCCTCCTCCTCCTCCTCCTCCCCCTTGCCGGCCGTCGGAGAGTGCCATGAGGACGTTCCCGTGCACCGAGGGCATGATGTTCAGAGTGGTGTCCTGCTCCGCAGGCGGGGCACGGTCGTGGAGGGGAGGGAGGAGGAGGGGGAGGAGGAGGAGGAGGAGGAAAAGGGAGGAGGAGGAGGAACAGGGAGGAGGAGGAGGAGGAGGAGGAGGAGGAGGAGGAGGAGGAGGATGCAGGTTTGCAACCACCACTGGCGAACGAGTTGCACCAGCACGACAACGTCGTGTCGTGACGACCTGTGCGCTGGTTTCGACGCCGTGCGGGCCACTCGACTCTCAAACGATCGCGGCTCTGCCACAGCGCGGATCGCTCGACGTCGGCCGATGCCAGGCCGCCGCCGCCGCTGGCGTTCAACCTGGAAAGCCCACGACGGGTTCGCCGCCGCGTCGACACAGGGCGCACATACACCCTGCGAAATGCTTAAGAAATCATGGGTTAAGAAATTCAAAGTCTCAGAACTTGAAAAAAAAAACAACATTTCCATTAAAATCTTAAGATTTACATTGAAACGTTAAGAATGCTCGAGACTCTGGCCGAACACTTAAGTTTTCTTAAGCATCGCCTAAGGTGTACCGTGCTGTCGGGCTACTACCATAAGGAACGCTGAGTAACACACAAAGCCCGTGTTTGGCCCCCCAAGAGCGCCTGGGCCCACGAGAAGCGCCGGAGGAGCGACCCTGCAAAGATCCGGGGAACACGGCCCTTCCGGACCAAACCGGCTCCCTGTTTGGGCGCCGCTGGAGGAACCAAACTGCCACGCACTACCGTTCGGAAGTCCGCGCGGACTTCTCGGATCGGCGCTGGCCCCCTCCCTGGCGCGCGGATCGCGCCAGGGGCGGTGCCAGAGGTGCCGCCAGGGGACCCTGGCGCCAGTCCAAGAGATCGAGCGGACGTCCAGAAGTTTATGTCTATGCCCAGTGTCCCGGCAACGAGCGTCGCAGCAAACGCCATGAGAGCGCTTCCGGCTACACCTAGTTACACCTAGTTACACCTAGTTACACCCAGTTACACCTAGTTACACCTAGTTACACCTAGTTACACCTAGTTACACCTAGTTACACCTAGTTACACCTAGTTGCACCTAGTTACACCTAGTTGCACCTAGTTACGCCCAGTTACACCTAGTTACACCTAGTTACACCTAGTTACACATAGTTACCCTCAGTTTCCCTCAGCTACCCGAGTTAAGGCATGACGCAATCAGTCTGAATCGGAGTGCAGGCATTCGAACCTGGAACCTCGGTCCTCGATCCTCGCCTCGGTCATCGATCCTATACTCGGTCCTCGATCCTGGTTTCATTTTTCAAGACAACCTCGCCGACACATCGGCGATACATCGGCGATACATCGCCGATGCATCGGCGACATCGGCGATGCATCGACGACGCCAGCGCGGAGAAAATCGAGCTCCACATTGGGCCGCATCGCCGATGCATCGACGATGCAGCGCGATCCTCCAACCCATCTGCTCGGACCCAGGGGGGCCAGGAAGAGGGGGTGGTGCGCACTGGGGCCAAAAGCATGGGGCGCGGACGAGCGGGGGCCTTGGAGAGTGTTGAACAAAGAAGCAGAAGAAGAACAAAAATGATAATATTAATAATAACAATAATAATAGTAATAATCATAATAATAATCAAAATAGCAATAATGTCAATACTAAGAATAAGAGTGATAATAATGATATGAATTATACGAAAAGAATGATAATACTCATGGTCTCATGATCATAGACATCACAACTACTGATAGTACTTATGGAAAATACATATGAAACGAATAGGAATGCGAATACGAATGCGAGTACACATACGAATTCGAAGAGCAATCATGATAACAAGAAAAAATACCAAATACAACATAACAAGACATAATGGTAACCATCAGTGTTATGACGAAGAGGGCGAAACATACGAATACGAAAATAATAATAATGTAACTATCGAAAAACGAATACTAAGAAGAAGAAGAAGAAGAAGAGGAAGAGGAAGAAGAAGACGAAACATAAGAAGAAGATGACGAAAAAGAAGAGGAAGAGGAAGAAGAAGAAGAAGAAGTCACAGTCTTGACCCCCTGTCGGGCGCCTGGTGTTTTCAGGACGCCACACCCGGTCTCCGGCGGCCTCTCACGGGACGATCCGGGCACACCTGGGGGGCCGCTCCTGGCGAGGCGCGGCTGCGGCTGAGCATCCGGAGGCTGGCAAAACCCCAGGGAGCCCACGAAAACGCCAGCAAAGAACCTCCCTGGACGAGGCCCTACACCTCGCGAGTGATGGGAAACGCAATTTTTTTTCAAAAACCGCACTCAATGAGCCACAATAGCGTCTCCCATAACTTTAAGCTATGGGAAACGCAATCCCGGACGACCGCCGCCCTGTAGTCCATCTCTGGCGCCCCCGATGATGCCTCGACGGCACCTGGAAATCTGGGCCCCTCCCGTTCCTGTCGGCCCCTCGGACCTCTCATGTGGGCGGTTTCGGAGACCTTGAACCCAAAATTGTTTTCATCTCTTGGGGGGACATTTTCTACTTCCGACGACCTTCCGCTGCCTTCCGCCGAGGAAGAGATGACAACTCCTTCGACCCTTGAAGGCAAGGCCCTTTCTGAAACGCCCCACGTGGTGCTTGCAGCCTGCCGAATATCTCTCTGGAAAACCTGGCCTCATGGCGACAAGGACGCGCTGGCAGTCCCAGCCAAGGCCCAAAACCGCCAGGAAGCCTACGGCCAGGGATTTTTGCTGGGCGTGTCGCAGCGGCGCCCCTGGCGGCACGCTATGTCTTGGCGAGCTGATAGCGTGTCGTTCCGCTCCGCGGGGCTAGAGGCTGGCAGGAGCTCGAGGAAATGACGCTGTGCGCTGTGGGACCGGATCGTGCTTAGCATGCGGCGCCGCAGCGTGGTGAGCCAGAACCCGCGGCGCCACACGCCTCCTCCTCCTCCTCCTCCTCCTCCTCCTCCTCCACCTCCTCCCCCTCCTCCTCCTCCCCCTCCCCCTCCCCCTCCTCCTCCTCCTCATCCCCCTCACCATTACCACCACCATCCTCCTCCTCCTCCTCCTCCTCCTCCTCCTCTTCTTCCTCCTCGTTGTCCTCAACACATCATGTTGTTCGTCCCCGCCGTCCGCCACAATCATCCTCCTGTCCTCATCGCCACACGCACCGTCACCATCATCATCATCATCATCATCCTCATCATCCTCATCATCATCATCATCATGAGGTCGCGACCCCGGAAAGCCTGATGCCCCGAAGCACGAGGGGAGGAGGAGGAGCAACAACAGGACAAGGATAAGGGAGGGGGGGAAGGAACACGAGGGAGGCAGAGCAGCGAGGAAGGATGGCGGAAGAAGCTGGGGAAAGAGGGGGCGAAGGGAGGTGTTGACAAAGGGGCGCCGCTGTCCCCCTCAGTTTTCCCTCAGTGTCGTCTCAGTTTCTTGCGTCAGAAAGAGGTTGCAGTTGTAGGATACCAAGCCGCAAACGCAGTGCCAGGAAAACTAAATGCAACCGAGAAGAAACTGAGTGCAACTGAGGGAAACTGAAAAGAGGGGGCGAAGGGAGGTATTGACAAAGGGGCGCCGCTGTCCCCCTCAGTTTTCCCTCAATTTCGTCTCAGTTCCTTGCGTCAGAAAAAAACTGCAGGTGTAGGATACCAAGCCGCAAGCACAGTGCCAGGAAAGCTAAATGCAACCGAGAGGAAACTGAACGCAACTGAAGGAATATGACTATAACTGAGGGAAACTGAGTGTAACTGAGGGAAACTGAATGTAACTGAGGGAAACTGAGTGTAACTGAGGGAAACTGAGTGTAACTGAAGGAAACTGAGTGTAACTGAGGGAAACTGAGTGTAACTGAGTGTAACTGAGGGGAACTGAATGTAACTGAGGGGTCCGAACTGGCTCCGTCCGACGCCGCGCGCGGCCACAATGTCTATGCCTGCCTTTCGTTCGAGTCTTGGCTGCACAGGACTGACGAGCGCGAAGCCAAGCCACTCCCAACGACGCGCAGCGCGCCTCGCGACGCGCAGCGCGCGCTTCGCTTCGCGCCCCGGAGAGGCCATCGTGGAGCAAAGCAGCCCTCTGGCCCAGACCGCGACGCGCGAATAACGATCATGTTCGCGGGCCCTGGGGAGGACCTGGTCAAGAGTTGGTGGCAACTCATGGGTGCCTCCCATGCCATCTTGCTGGCTCCTGCGAATCGACGCCCTCCGACGCCAGTGGGCGCCATCGGCGCAAAACGGACGCCTTCGACGCTGAATCGACGCTAGTACGAAACCACGAGGACATACGAGGCGATGACCGAACGCGATGACCTCCTCGCCCTGCAATAGGCAGACTCGTGCAGAGAACCTTGGCCTGGGAGGGACAAGCGAGGCAGAGCTGCCCCTGACAGTTCTTGCCCGGGCATTCTCCGTGCGGAGGGGGGAGGAGGAGAAGGCAGAGGAGGAGGAGGAAGAGGAGGAGGAGGAGGAGGACGAGAAGAAAGAAGAGGAGGAGGAGCAAGAACGCAACAGCCTCGATGCGCATGTCTGGCCAACGTGAAAGAGGAGGAGGAAGAGGAGGAGGAGGAGCAGGAGGAGGAGGAGGAGGATGACGAGGAGGAGGAGGAGGAGGAGGAGGAGGAGGAGGAGGGAAAGGGACCCCCTCGGGGGGGCCACGCGCGCACGCTTCAGGGGGGAGGCCCTGCCGCGCCCGCGGGGGCGCAGGGTGCAGGGAAGCTCGGGCTCTGGCGGCTGGCTGCATGGCGCTGGCCTGGATTTGGCGCTCCTCCTCGTCCTCCTCCTCCTCTCCTCCTCCTCCTTCCTCCCTCCTCCTCTCTCTCCTCCTCTCCGCCTCCTCCTCCTCCTCCTCCTCTTCCTCCTCCTCCTCCTTCCTCCTCCTCCTCCCTCTCCTCCAACTCCTCCTCCTCCCTCCTCCTCCTCCTCGTCCTCCCTCCGCCCTCCTCCCTTCTCCTCCTCATCCGCCCTCCGCCCTCCTGACTCCTCCTCCTCGTCCGCCCTCTCCTCCTCCTCTCCTCCTCCACTTCCCCTCCTCTCCTCCTCCTCCTCCTCCTCCAACCTCCTCCGTCTCCTTCTCCTCCCCTTCTCCTCCTCTCCTCTCCTCTCTTCCTCCTCCATCCTCTGCCTCCGCCCTCCGCCCTCCGCCCTCCTCTCCTCCTCCTCCTCCCCCCTCCCTCCCCCCTCCTCCTCCTCCTCCTCCTCATCCTCCGCCTCCTCCTTCCTCCTCCTCCTCCTCCTCCTCCTCCTCCTCTCTCCTCCTCCTCCTCCTCCTCTCCTCCCCTCCTCCCTCTCCTCCTCCTCCTCCTCTTCCTCCCCTCCTCCTCTCTCCTCCCCTCCTCCTCCCCTCCTCCCCTCCTCCCTCCTCTCCTCCTCCTCCTCCTCCTCCTCCTCCTCCTCCTCCTCCTCCTCCCTCCTCCCAAGATCGGTGAGCATCGAATCGGGACGGCGGATCGGCTCGGCCTCCTCCTCCTCCTCCTCCTCCTCCTCCTCCTCCTCCTCTTCCTCCTCCCAAGATCGGTGAGCATCGAATCGGGACGGCGGATCGGCTCGGCATGCGCGTCGGGTCGGGCCGCACCGGCGCGGGGTCGAGGCCGAAGCGGATCGGCTGTACCAGGGTGCAAAACAACACCATTTGAGGATCGGCCCGCATCGGTGCGGAAAAAATCGAAATCGAGTCGGCTCGATCTGGCCGTCAAAGATATCACGTCCGAACTTGATTCGGACATGGGCTAGAGTTCAGCGATGGCTCCAAGGCAGCAGATCCAGTATACTACAGGCATCAGGCAAGGCAGCTGGTGAAGTGTTTTCACCCAGGAGATGGTCCTCGTAGCCACCTGAACCTCTCCTCGGCATCATCTTGTAGCCTCCTCCACCCGCCCAGCGTCGGCACGGATTCGGCGCCCTACCGAGTGGAACGATCTCCCGAGCGGCAAACCTATCTGTATCCAGGCCCTCGCGGCCTGGATCACGGAGCGCGATCGTGCGGATACGCGGTCGCAGGGATGCGCTCCGCGCGGAGTCTCTGCGCAAAAGCGCCCCGTATCCGCGGAGGCCGCGGGTACAGTCGGGGCCTTGACCTAAGGAACCCTAATTAAGGAACGAGGCCCCTTTTCTCCAGAAGTTGAACTTCGATCTCCCCTCGAAAACCCTAGGACATCGCGGGGAAAACTGCAAAACCATCAAGGGACACCGAGCCCCTCCTCAAAGAAGAGGGTTCCTTTTCTTCAGCGCCCCGACGGTACGGATGCGGCTGTCGCCCACGGAGGGGAACGCCAGCAGGGGGCCAGCTCGGAGGGCGAACCGCGGGGCCGGGAGCGGCGACGCGTCGCCGACGGGTCGGCGAGGGGCCCCCGATGCTGGAACCGCGCGTGCGCGCATTCTGGGCAGGGCGAGCGGCCCCGCAGGCCCCGAGCGAACTACAGTCGGGGCGTTGACCTCAGGAACCCTACGGCAGGTTCGTGCCGTGTCGACCTGGGCGTTGGTTCCTGACACCGCGCTGGATCGTTTGACCTTGAACGATCGGCCATTTCCGCAACGTCCAATCGTTCAACATCGACCGATTCTGGGCCGCCCGCGGCGTTCAACCTTGAACGCCCGCGCTGGGGTCGCCGCTGGTCGACACGACGCAAACCTACCGTAAATAAGGAACGAGGCCCCTTCGTTCCATAAGTGAACCTTCGATCTCCTGTCGAATAAGGAAAGCCTGAGGCAAGCTGTGAGACACTTCAGGAACGCGGAGCCCCTCCCAAACGAAAAGGGCTCCTTCTTCAGGGCCCCGACTGCAGCCTGGGCCCATCCCCCTCGTGTCGTTGCCCCTGGTCGACGCTGCCAAGGATGGGAGCGAACCGGCGGAGCAGCAGGAAGAGCAACGAGGAAGCGCGTGCACGCTCGGAGCATTTCAAACGCTCAGGCCAGACAGGGGAGCCTACGCAGTCGAATCCTTGGTCAAGAACTCAACGGTCTCCTTCAGCTTTGGCCGTTTGTCCTCACTGTGCCGCTGCTACAGGGTCTGCACCCTCTCTGTGTCTCTCCCTCTCGCTCTCGCTCTCTCTCTCTCTCACTCTCAAATGCATTCATAGATGTATATGAATATCCGTGTGTACATACACGTGTTTATATCCACGCCACATCCCTCCTCGGAGAGGGCACCACACACATTTCATGATCACTCTCGCATTGCACGCGGCAGCTCGGGATCCCCGTGAGGAACTGCCCCCGTCACCAAGCGCCCCAGAGGGGCACTCAGAAGCTGCACGGGGCGCATGCTGGCCTCAAGGAATCCTTCTCCTGCCCCCTCGGCCTCGCTCCTCCCTCTGTCATCTTCCCGCAACTGCTCAGACTGCTCCTGCTCCTGCGCCTCCAGCACCTCCCCATCCCTCTTGCCGAAAGCCCTCCCCGTTGCAGCAACAGGCGTCTCGATTGGGCGGGCCGCGAAGTTCTGCCCGAGACTTCCACACGGCTTACAGCCAAACGCATGAACCTCTGCGACTACACAGGCGGGAGCCGACGTGCCGTCGACATGCTGCTCTTGCATTAGCGCCGCGCGCATTCGGCGTGAGTGCTCCCAGAACTGACAACGATAGATGGTGCTGCACGTGTTCGAGCAAAGAGCTTCCAGCAGTTCTACACATGGATGATGCATCGTCTTCAACATGCGTCCCCCCCCCCCCCCCAACGCCCGCCAACACACAGCCGCCTTAAGAGGAGGAGGAGGAGGAGGAATATTCAACCAACTAGAACCATAGACGGTGGGTCGTCTTGACGCTGTTGCTCTCGCCGTGGCGCTGCGCACAACCGCCCCAAAGTCTTCCAAGCGCTGTACATGTAAGGATGGCGGGTCGTTACCAACATGTGGATCTTGCCTTAGCGCTGCGCACACTCGTCTCAACATTTCCCGAACATTCGAAGCATTGCGGATGGCTCCTTTTCGAGTATAGGGGCTTCCGCTTGAGATGTTTCGTCGAGCTGTTCGTACATGTGCTGCAATGGCACGCGCGCAAACAGGCTACTTTCGAGAGTCGTGTCACCGCTGGACACATCCTTGGACTTTATCATTATACCCCTGGCGTTTCTTTGTAAGTAGAAAGATGGAGGCGGTTCCTCCTCAAAATAAGACTTTCGTTTGAATGGCAAGCGGCCCTTGGCTTTCAAGAGGGGGCTTCCCGAAATAAAAGGAAAACTGCAGGGACTTCTGATGCGACTAGGGACGGGTGGCGTACACACACAGTCAACAATCAGAGAGCCATGATATAATAAGTTGTACAGCTGAGCTGGGACCCCAAACATCCAACACAATGTGATTTCCGAGACCTGCGTGTATGTGCTGTGCGACCAGGCGCGACCAGAGCAACTCGCGGATCCTCGAGGCATGGATGCGAAACCGAGCGCAGAAGACACGGTCAGCCCCTAGCCTTCCTGGCCAGATCGCGCCGTAAGCAAACAGCAGGGGCTAGAAACAAAAACCCACACACACACACACATAAAACTGTCTTACTGTCCTCCCTGGGTGCATTGTGACATGGCTGATGCACCCTGGGTTTGCTCTGGTCCTTCTCCTTCTCGTCCTGATCACGATGCCCCCGAAGCCCGGGGGAGAGGGCGTGGACACCTTCCCTTGCTCTCCTCTCCTCGTGGGGGGCTGGGTCCTGCTGGCGACAGCAGTCGAGAGGCAGAGGGGGCAGGTCGGCATGAAGGAGCATGGCCCTGGTGGACAGGGGCACTGGGGCACTCCAGGGCTCAGTGGGCCCCAGAAGCGGCAGGGCGTTTTGTCTCACCGTTTCCGAAAAAGAGTCCCTTGAAAATGGAAACGGCAAGAAAACGGCGACCGGAAACGGCAAAAGAACGCCTCCAGGATTGGAGCCGGAGCCAGAACCGGAAGAAAAAAAACGGCGGCGGGGCCGGTAAAAAACCGGCGTCCGAACCGACACCAAAAACGGCAGAACGGAACCGGTGTAAAGACGGCCCTGTCGTTTCCAGGGCCCACTAGGCTCCAGGGCACCCCGGGGGGCAGGTCGGCGTGAGCGGTCCCTGGGCCCAGGGGCACCCCAGGGCCTCCCGTCTCGTGACGGGCCCGGGGTCGGGCCCGGGCCCCAGAGCCCCGAGAACGGCGGCAGCACTCCATGGCCAACAGCTTGTTCTGAACGGCGAGAATAGGGAGCCCACAAAGGACGTACGCGCCCGGCTATGTACATGAACACGGCCCCTCGATCCGCGAGACCGGCCGCGTTATACGAACATTTGCGCAATGCGTACTCTCGAAACCAGCGTGGATTCATGTACATGTACGTCCTTCTTTCGCTCCTGAGAGAAAAGAGGGGGAGCTCGTGGTGCAGAACTGTGAGCAGACTTCTGACCAGGCCCTTGGGCTGGCGCCTGTCACGCAGCCGCTGGGCTGATCCCGTCTCGCCCATTCTCTCTCTCTCTCTCTTTCTCTGTGTCTCTCTCTATGTCTGTCTCTCTCTCTCTCTGTCTCGAAGGAGGAGGAGAACGAGGAGGAGGAGGAGGAGGACGATATCGGCGAAGGAGGAGGAGGAGGAGGGGAAGAAGAACAAGCAGGAGGAAGAGGAGGGCGGGCGCTGAGGAGACGGAGGGACGGCGGCGGCGCGCGGCGCGCGCGGGGGCGGCGCCGCCCTTCCCGCCCCTCCCCCCCGCGGGGTCCGGAGCGGCGTCCTCCTCCTTCTCCTTGGGCGGCTCGGGCACCTGCGGGAGGCTCTTGCGTGAGAGGCTGCGTACCCGGACGCTTGGACGCTTCGCGTCCGCGCGCGGCGGGGCGCCCGCAGCGAGGCTGCCCCTCCTCTCCTCGTCCTCGGGCGGCGGTGGGCGGCGGCGACGGCGATGGCGGCGGCAGCCCGTTGGCTTCCGCCGCGCCTGCTGCAGGGGCAGCGTGGCCACGAGGGCGCGGCTCGGGCAGGGGCACGGGCCCAGGGTGGCTGCCAGGGGCCTGCGAGACACGGGAGCGGGAGAGCCACCCCGCATACCCTCATGATGGGCACCCCGACCAGCGAAGCCGTTCCGTGAACGCACCCCTGGAAGGAATCCAGGGCAGGGCCGTGCAGTGAACGAACGGGGCCGTTCAGTCAACGCCAACGGCGGGAGAGGAGTTTTCCCCCTTTGAAGCACGGCCCAAGTTCCTCCAAAGCACATCTGGGAAGGCCCGAAGGGCCCATCTCGTTGATGCTCAATGATCGTTGAAGGACTTGGGCGGTTGCTAATCTTCGGCTCTCTGACGGCCCGAGACAGTCCCAGAGGCAACCGAGATAGCCCGCAGAGCGCCAAAGAGGCCTCCGAGGCGGCCCTCATCCGAGGCAGAGGTCCCATGGCGATGCCCCAGACGCAGAGACATTGAGCCCACCACACGAGGAACATGCGGGCCCCAAGAATATACGCCACCACCACGTCGATTCCTCCTCCCTCCTCTAGCTACCCTCCTCGTCCTCTCCTCCTTCCTGGGAGAGGGAGGGGGTGAGGGAGGTGGCGGTGATGCATGTATATACTGTTTTACGGAGGCGTACGTCCACGCCAGTGGTCAAGTTAGCCCGACACGTGACCTATACTTTCAGGACCTTGCACACCGCCCCCCCAGCACACTGGCCGAAGGTTCCACTGCGCCCACAGCCCGCGGGGCCGCTCGGGACCCACAAACGCGGGCCCGAATCACGGAGGGACAGGCCAGCACCGAGACACGGTGCACCTCCGAACAGGACGGGCAGCCAAGGGACCTCCCGAGGTCCCGAGGCACCCATCCCGTGGGAGGCCGACCACAGGTCCCACACAGACACCCTCGGCCACGCGCTGGAACGTGCGGCACCAGAAAGGCACACCCTGAAGGTCACCAGCTAACTCCCCTGGGCTAGGGCACCAATCTGGAGTAGCTGGGGGCATCTATACAGAACTGTCTCCTCGTGCAGGGGCCGCGACGCGGCCCTGGACGACAGGGAGGTAGCGGGTGGGAGCCTTGGAAAGAGGCTACGGAAGGAGACGGCGTTCAACGATGCCCCCAAACAGTATTGCCTTACACAAGCGTAAACGGTCATACTGTTTTACGGAGGCGTACGTCCACGCCAGTGGTCAAGTTAGCCCGACACGTGACCTATACTTTCAGGACCTTGCACACCGCCCCCCAGCACACTGGCCGAAGGTTCCACTGCGCCCACAGCCCGCGGGGCCGCTCGGGACCCACAAACGCGGGCCCGAATCACGGAGGGACAGGCCAGCACCGAGACACGGTGCACCTCCGAACAGGACGGGCAGCCAAGGGACCTCCCGAGGTCCCGAGGCACCCATCCCGTGGGAGGCCGACCACAGGTCCCACACAGACACCCTCGGCCACGCGCTGGAACGTGCGGCACCAGAAAGGCACACCCTGAAGGTCACCAGCTAACTCCCCACATCTCCAACCTTGGCGCCCACGCCGTCTACGAGAAACTATTCTAAAAAACTCTACAATCGTGAGGCTAACTTCCAGTCACCGCCTAGACTTAGGCATGGAAAGTCAGCGAAGCTGAGAGATATGTACACACAACCATGCAATGGGCACAAAGAGGGACGGCTGGATAGGGAATAGAAGATGCACATTCAACGCTCACAAACTGACAAATTCACGGAGAATCTCGAGCCCGCATTGAACATTTGAACACTGTTCATCTTGCGGCCTGACCTTCACTAGGTCAGCAACTGCATCTTCAATATAAATTCTCGCAGTCAAAGTGCTGGCCCAGCGGCCTTTGACGAGTGTCTGCTCCATCGAGCTGGAGCGGCAGAAAAAGTCACTTGCTCCGCCTCGTCGGCAACTGTGCCAGCTGAAAAGGCCTCGAAAGCCGAGCGCTTCGGCCAAGCGCTGCAATCCTGCCTTCAGCTGGTTCGGCGATCTGGGCGAAAGCCTGTCTGAAGGCCCGAGATTGGCCACGACCAGCCGCAGCAGCCGCACGCAGGCCTTAGATCGCACCACCACGGCCTCAGCTGCATCCTTTCCCGCCGTGGTCTTACTGCTGCCAATGCGGATGACCATGCACGATCCGCGATCATGAACATCGCCTGCAGTGAGGCTGAAAGCTTCCCCCCCTCGCAGCATCGCTTCAAAGCTGACGAGAAGAAGGCAGGCGAAGTCGAAGGCGCCTGCTGCGATGGCGTAGCCCGCCATGCCGCCGACCAGCTCCGCGGTCAGCGGGAGCACGCGCGCCGCTGGCTCTTGGCGGCGCCACGTCCGCAGCAGTGACCAGGACAAGTCGAGCTTCCTGCGCAAAGACGGGCAGAGGAAGGCCACACCTGCGATGGTGTTGCTCGCAGCCGCAATGCCAGCGCCCTCGGCCCAGAGCTTCTCGAGGAAGCCAGCGACCAAGCCGTCTGCATCGTCCATGGCCAGTGCGAGCGCGGGCGCGCCACTCTCCTCAGCGCCGTAGTAGTGCAAGAGCCTGCGGACCGCAACGGCGTACCGCCTGCGGGTCGCCACCCCGACGCGGAGCGACGAGAGGGTGTGGGCGCGCGGGTCACGCCGCCTCACAGGCGGCCTGCACGGGCGGCCTTGCGCACCAAGGGCGCGCGACTGCCGCGCCCCCTGAGCCGCGAGCCACGCCACAGCTTTCTCGATGGCTCGTCGGCCGGATTGTTCTCTGACACGATGTACCCGATCAGCGGGTACATGTCGGCCGCGACCGCGACCGCTGCCCAGCGCCGGAGCATCGGCTGCAAGCGAGCGCTGCTGCTCCGGCCTTTCGTGATGATGGCCGCGACGACCTGGCTGTCCACGAGGTGGAGCCAGCGGCTGCAGTGGCGGCGAGCGGCACGAGCCCGCCACCGAAGCGCCGCGAGCGCGGCCTGCAGCTCCCTGACGTTGATGTGCGCCTGCTGCCGCTTGGGCCAAGCTATACTCAGCACGACTCGCCACTTCCACACGAACGGGTCGAGCGACGATCTGGGCCACCCCTTCGGTCGGTACGGCAGGTTCACGTCGAGACGCACATCGCTCCCGCCCTTCTCGGACCTGGCCAGGTAGCTGAGGAGCAAGAGACGGCTGGCTTCGGTCTCTGGCTCCCCCGCGTCGCTCTCGAAGCGGCCCGCTTCGTCCCACGACGGCGTGCATTCGCCGACGTGCCGAAGCTCCTGCATGGACAGTGGGCGCGTCACGGCCCCCAGGTTCAGCAAGAGCCACTGCAGCAGCCAAGCGACCGAGAACACATTGAAGCTGTTGCCCAGTAGGAAGGACCTGGCGTCGTCGCTATCCTGCTGGTTCGAGCCCTTCGTGGCTACAGCCGTGTAACGCACGTCGAATCCCATCATCCTCTCCCGCTCGGAGCTCGAAGGGACTCGCAAGGATCCGTCGCTGTCCTGCAAGAGGTTTTTCTCTTCGTAGAGCGCAACATGGTAGCGATACGAATCCGACTGCCAGCGAGCGAGCGCCTCGGGCGAAGCACTCTTCACCCCGCGCGGCGCTGAAGGGTAGCCCCGCTGAGGCCTGCTGCACACGAGGGTGGGGTAAGGCCCAGGCTCGCCCAGCCAGCGCGCGCCAGGATCCCGCCAATCGAAATTCAACAGGGGCGGCTCATTGCAGCTGACCACGAACATATCCTCGCGCTCCTGGAGGACCAGCGGCGGGGTCGGGCGGACGCTCCAGCTCAGCCAATACAGCCGCGGCCTCCTGCAGGGCACCAGGGCCGAGGTGCACAGAAACACGGGCTTGACGCCGAGGGCCTGGTTCATGCCACGCAGGCTGCTGGACGTCATGCCCGCGACGTTCTCCACGAACCACCTGAAACTCGCCCCGAAAGCGTCTGACAGCAGCCCGAAGATGCGCGGCACCTCGAAGAAGACCGAAGACTTCGGGTCGGCCAGGCCTCGCCCAGCAGCGTTTAGCCCCGTGAGCCCCTGGCACGGGCTGCCTGCGCCCGCGACCACAAGGTCGACCTCGGACTGGTAGGCGATCCTCAAGTCCTCCACCGTCTGGGCGGTCACGGTCCTGACGTCGCCCCAGTCGATGGCGCCTGGCCACCTGAGCCGTACGACCCTCCTGGCCTTGGCGTCTGTCTCGGCGCTCACGTACCCGACGATGCGCACGGGCAGGCGCGAGAGCGCGACCGCCAACCCGCCGATGCCGTCGAACAGCCCGATGCAGAGGACTCTGAGGATTCGGGCGACGATGGCCCGCGGGATCCGCGGATTGCTGCGAGTCCAGGGCGCCCGCGGATCGACGGGCAGGCCGAGGACCCTCGCCCCAGCGCCCAGCTGAGCGCCAGGCTCGCCGGCGGCGAGGATAGTCGCCTCCGCCTGCTCGTGGAGGCCCGTCGACACGCAGACTCCCCCCCCGAACTCGGACGCGTCTGAACACGACGCCATCCCTTCGAGGCGGCTCCTCAACGAAGTAGCGGCGAGCGGGACCACGAGGAGCGCCGTCATCAGCTCCTCCCTCATCTCCCGCGTCAGGTAGACCTTCGCCCGCGGCTCCGAAAGCCTCCACACTGCATTCAAGATGCTGAGCAAGGGCCGCCGAAACTCGAAGACCCTGACAATGCGGCCGAGCACAGTCATGGCCAGCCTCCACGGGACCAAGTCCAGGCCGAGCGTCGCGATGGCGAGAGCGCAGGCGGACAACGCCTTGCTGAGGGGGGCGCCGATCCGCCCCGTGACGCCGTCAACGGAAGCCCCCATCCTCTCAACGCGAAGCTGGCGGAGGTGCGCCTTGTCGGAGGAGATCGCCACCTGCGCACGCTCGTAGCTGGCACGGGCCGCGGCCTGCAACTCTGCCTGGCTACCAAGAAGCTCTAGCGCCGCGGCCTCCTCGATGATCTCGGGGGCGTCGAAGTCGTCGATGTATACCTGCCACCAAGATGCAAGGACGGGACCCTGCTTAGCAAAAGCGAGCGGCCGCACCGTGTCCTTCCGCCATTCTGCCTCTGGCGGTAGGCCCGCTCCAAGCGGGGGAGGAAGCCGACACAATCGCCGATGTATGTGCTGGAACAGCGGCACGGCGAGCATCCAACCCATCGAGATGACCGCTGAGGCGACGAAGACCCGCGGCGCCGCGCGCCCAAACAGGTCGCCGCGCAGCGCCTTGCCCACCGCCATGTGAGCATGCCAGCAGCGCGGGATCCGCCACACAAAGAAGGCCCCCTTCTGGTCATCGCCAGACCACAGCAGCAGGGAGCCCTCGGGCAGGTGAAGGGTCGTCCAGCCCGTCGACGCCGCGAGTGTAGACGCCTCACCGACGAACGGCTTGAGGAGCGAGTTGCCTGGGACCATGTTCAGGATGAGCCTGGTGACCCGCTCGGCCCCTGGCCCAGGCGCTCCCTTCTTCTCGACTGCGAAGAGGCCGTTGAGGAGCGGAGCGCCCCGCACCTGAAACACCTCATGCGGCTCAAGCACCGTGAAGATGCCCAGCTCCACCAAGTGCACCGCGAGGGCCTCCCAGTCGCTGTCAGAGGTGACGTTGACCCGCGCCCTCGGGAGCGGGTTGGGCCACTCGGCCTCGGGCTTCAGCGCCACCGAGGGGTCGTTCAGCCAGGCGCCAATGTCCGCATCCACGAACTCGCACGCGTCCAAGGCGCCTGCGTGCTCGGGCTGCGGCAAGCCCGGCTTCAGCTCCGCGAGCACGCACGGGAGTGCCTTGACCGCGGGCTCCCCGCTGTAGTCGATGGCAGCGTGCTGGAGGGCGGACGACAGCGCGGGCACCTCCACGCTCGCGAAGGGGTCCTCCGCAAAGACCTCAGCCCGCGACAGGAGGTGCGCCATGGCCTGCCGCTGCGCCAGCGTGAGGGACCCCTCGTGCTGCCAAGTGGCGGTCGCCCGCCCGCAGTACATGCGGTTCAGGCCAAGCACCTCCATGTAAAGCCAGCACTCCATCATGACGGACCTGGCCACTCCTGCGAGACGGCACCTGCTGCTGCGAGGGCCGCATCGGCTGCGAATCCATCGCCTCGCCAGGGAGAGAGAGGGCAGGGGCAGCGGGAGGACGTCACGTCCCCGCACCCCGCTCCCCCGCCTTGTGGACGTACGCATCGTGAACTCCCTGGCGAAGGCGCCCAGACCCCCAGGGTCCGTGATGGTAAGGCCCAGCAGGGTGACCGACAAGTCCACGGCAGTGAGGCTCGACCCAAAGCCGACCGTGACCACGCGCTGCCAGTCATGGAAGTCCGAAGCGGTGAACGAGTCCTCGCCCGCTGCGAAATCCGACCAAAGCTCGGCAACAGAGAGCTGTCCCCCCCGCGGCGTCGACTCATCCCGCGCCAGGGCTCCTGCCGCCTCTGCCTCGCCGCAGGACCAGCGCCCAGCAACACCCCCAGGCCCAGCACGCAGCAACTCGCTGGCGCTCGGGGGGCTTGGAGGGGCCTCGGCCGCGCCGACTAGGCCATCGGCCGCTGCGCCGCCCCCAGAGGCGCCCGCGCAGGCCAGGCGCCCCCCAAGAGCGCTTGCTGCGGGCAGCGAGGCGACCGCTACCGCAGCGTCGGCACCAGGCTCCGCAGGCGGGCATCGTACGCCTTCACCGTCTCGCCAGCCTTCTTCGGGTACTTCGCCTTGGCGTCCTTCCAGGGCCGCGCCAACACGACCGCACGGGCTGGGGCTGCCGACCTGTCCGCCAGCATGCGGTCGGCCTCCGCGGAGCCCGCGGCCGCTGGCTGCCTCTGCGCCGGGGCCTGCGCTGCGGCAGGGGGTATCCCCCCTGCACGGCCTGCAGGGCGAGTGGGCAACGCCGAACCCACCTCGCCCCGGCCGACCTGCTAGCCCTGAGGCTTCTGCCGCAGCCGCGAGGCGAGCTCCTCCAGCTTGAGCTCCCCGTGCTGGATGCTCCTGATCATCTCCTCCTCCTCGTTGCGTAGCGCGAGAGGCTGGTCCCGCGGCGGTATCAGCTCGAGCCACTTCGCCGCCGACCAGCTCCCGTCGCCGACCGCCACCTGGATGGCCTTGAAGCGCTGGGCCAGGATGTCGGCCACCGCGGCCGTGCGGCCCTGCAGCAACAGGTCCAGCGCCTCCGCGATCGTCCGCAACTCGCGGTAGATCTCGCCCCCTATCTCCTTCACCGGATGCTGCGGCAAGTAGACCGACAGGAGGAATCGAAGGACGATCGGGCCATGCGGATCGACCGACCCGCCGCCGTCCTGCGACCCCAAGAACTCTGCCATCTGCGCCAGGCTCAGCTCCGCGAGTCTCCCTGGGTGCTCCAGGGCCAACCTCCTGCAGTGGGCCCGACGAGACGCAAGGCCCTTCGGCAGCAAGTCGCCCTCGGCGGTGGCGACACCACCATCGCCGCCGAAGGACGGGTCCTCGGACGACCTGGACGCGCTCTGCAGCGCCTTGAGGAGGGCCGTCAGCAGCTCCTGCACGCCAGCTCCGCCCTGACCAACGGCGGGGGCGGCCACCTCTGCTCCCTTGGCGCCCTCGGCCGATGCAGCTGCTCCGACCTTCGCCGCCTTCCGCACGCGGTCCTCGAGGACCTCGGCAAGCGACCGCTGCGGTGGCGGCCCGCCCTGCCGCGGGATCTTCGCCGGCGGCTCGTCGTCCAGGGCAGCGACCGCCTCCGCAGCCCCCGCAGCGGCCCGCCGCTGCTGCTGAAGCCGAGCGAAGCGGTCCTGCGCCGCCTCCAGCTTCCCGCGGAGGCTGGCACGGCGGCCGCCCCCATCCGCCTCGACCACGTCGCCGCCCCAGAGCTCGTCCAGTCCTGGCTGCTCCGACGGAGCCGGCCTCCTGGCAGGCGCCTCCCCAGGCACCCCTCCAGTGAACCGCGGCCCGAAGAGGTCGGCGGGCCAGACCGCGTCTGGGTTGTCCGAGAGGAACGCCGCGAAGATCTCCCGCAGCTCGTCGGCCGAGACGGCGGTCGCGTCTGTGATGTGCACCAGCTCCGAGCAACCCCGCGGCGGCTGGACCTGGCACGGCTGCGTCCGGCACACGTGGACGAGGGGCCGCGCAGTCACGGCCCCGCGCTCGCCTGGGTTCGACGCCCACCAGTCCCAGTACGGGTCGTCTGAGAAGAGGAACCTCGGCCTGGCGTACGTCTCGACTCCGACCGAGAGGCGAAGGGCGACCCAAGTGAAGCGGCACTGGATGTCGCCCTGGGCATTGTAGCCCGTCGACGAATACGCCTGGCCCTCGACGAGCCGCAGCTCCTCGGCGGGGGCAGGAGGCAGTCCACCGCCCTCCCCGTCCAGCTCGTCGCCCGACGGGGTGTACAGCTGCGCGCTCCCGTCCAGCTCCTCGTCCTGATCTCCGGCCATGAGAGGGCGCTTGCGCACCCAGCGCCGTCGCCCTCCTGGGAGTCCCCCCGACCTGGGGGCGGACCAGGTCGGAGCCGAAGAGATGCAAACGAGGACCTCGGGCGAGCACCAATGCACTGAGGTGTCGGCTCGCCCGAGGCCCCCAACCCTGCAAGCCTTGGAAAGAGGCTACGGAAGGAGACGGCGTTCAACGATGCCCCCAAACAGTATTGCCTTACACAAGCGTAAACGGTCATATAGTGGCCCCGTAGAACAGACGAGCACCCCTTCCAAGGCTAGGACTGCTCCTGACCCCCGTGACAAGTGTGAGGGAACTGGGCCAGGAGGGAAGCGGGCCTCGGCGACTCCAGAGCGTTTGGCTTTCAAAAGGTGTGGTTTGCAACGGGCACCCTGGATGGCACCCTGGGGGGCGGGCGACGACCTCTCTCCGCTGGGCCCCGAGGAGGCCCGACGAGGACAGCGTCGTGCTCCCCAGGCCCCAAAGGTACTGATCGCAAACCACATCACGGCGAAACCCTACCCTTTTGCAGTCGCCGAACAAGGCCTGGATCCGAAGGCTTGTCCCCGGACAAGCCCTTCCGCCTGATAATGGGTTTTTTGTTGTCGGTCCTGGGGCAAAAACCTCCAGAGGAGCCATTTCCCCCGGGGCCCGCTCCCCCCAGGGCGACACAGGGAGGGTACGGGGGGAAAGTGGAGGCCTAGCTTGCCATGGCTTTGAAGTTGAATCTCCGTGCATATCTAGGCTTCGCGTATTTTTCCCGCAGGATGCTCCAGGATGCTCCTCGATGACCCTCGCCGAGAGAAATGCACATGTCCGCACGGCGCCGAGCCAGGACCGTGTCAAGAAGCAAATCCTGGGAGGTCCCCGTGGGACATATCATGAGCTGTTCGGCCCAAAGTCAGGGGGGCACCACGCCAGGCTAAGCCAGATCTGGACCAGATCCAAGCCGTACCAAGCGGGGAAAGGGTCGCTCCCGAACGGGGATGTCCCGGCGCCAACGCCGAAGCCTAACCTCCCAGGAAGCTGCAACGCAGGACCAGGACGGTGCAAGAAAAGAGAGAAGGCCAGAGGAGGGGGCGGCTTCGCTTCGTGCGAGCCGCTTGGCCCAGAGAGGCCCCATATCTGACTACCTACCAAACCGCCCCAACCCAACCCGAAGACCCGAATTTCGGGTTGGGGGGGGTAAGGGTTCCACATGTGTTTTTTCGATGTTTCCCGACCCCCCCCCACTGCAAATCGAGGGTAAATTTGAGCCTTCGGGTTGGGTTGGGGTGGTTTGGTGGGTGGTAAATATCAGGGAAGGCGCACGGTCCGCACAACGGCCACTCAGGCTAAGCAGAGCAATCAAAAAGGGTCCGGGCGGACCGTGTTCGCCTTCGCCTGCGGTGCGACTGCCAGCGCGGTGCAGGCAGCGAGAGAAGTGCAAAAGCGACGCCTGAACCAATCAGGGTGCTTACCCTTCAGAACATCCACCCACACTGGAGGGGAATGAAACAAGGACCATGGCTAAGACTGAACGTGGAACTGCCGTGTCGATCTTGGTCACCGCCGATGTTGGTCAGCGTCAATTCGTGGAACCTCCTCGCGAATTGGCGACTATCGACATGGACAATGACCAAGATCGGCATCGACAAAAATACTGCGACATCTTGGTCATGGTCCCCGCCCGAGACGGGAGTATCCCCCATCCTCATCCTGCAGGAGGGTCCTTCCTCCTGCTACTTACCCCATCCTCCTCATCGTCGTCCACCTCCTGAAGCCTCCCTCCTCAGGGAGGGAGCGGAAGGACGACGAACAACAGGATGACGAGGATTCTTGTCAGACTGCGGGGCTCCGGCTGCAGCACATCTGCGAGGCTACATGACCATACACTGGCCTGGGGGAGACCCCAAGTAGGATGGAAACGACACAGGAGCTCGAGAGAAAGAGCAGCCCCCCTCACCACAAGCCTTATGTCGGGCATATCCTCTTCCAGGCGGATTTTGCACGAACATGTAAAAAACATCAAACAATCTTCAACCCAAATCGGAAAAGAATGGAAACATCGTCCCCACAATATTTTTGAATGTTTCTCCTGTAGAGGGGCATGTCCGACTTAACACAAGCTTGGCCTGGTCCTTGGTGCACCGCCAGGGGAAGCTCAGCGCCGACACCAGATCTCCGCGCGGACCTCCGAACGTTCATGTTTATGCAGGTGCTTCGGAACGCAGACCCAGAATGTCCGACGTCTTGCCTTGTTCCAAGCGGGGTCCCTGCAGCTCATCCCGAGAGTCGCCCGCTGCCAGTTCCGAGCCCGGCGGGGCCCCTGGGAGGCCGAAGGCGGCGAGAGACCTCCGCCCTGATTCTTCGGACTACCTACCAGACCACCCCAACCCAACCCGAAGACCCGAATTTGACCCGAATTTCGGGTTGGGGGGGGGTACGGGCTCCATGTGATCTTTCAACGTTCCCCGACCCCCCCCCCACTGGAAATGGAGGGCAAATTGAGGCCTTCGGGTTGGGTTGGGGTGGTTTGGTAGGTGGTGATCTTCCGGAGCGGCGCGCCTGACAGGGCCGCATCGGCAAGGAGCCGAAGTCGAGTCAGATCGGCCGCGCCAGGTTGAAAACCGATGCCGTGCGACGAGCGGGCCGCG